CTTGAACATTATATTTTCTTTGCCTTACTGACCTCGCTTTCCGTTCTTGATCTACGCCCCTCCCAACTAAAACAGGTTTTGCACTAAAGTGAATACATACTGTTAGTCCTTTGAATCTTTAAACTTGATAATTGTTTTAATYTAATCACTGTTCATGGAAATAATGTCCACAGGAAAATTACCTTAAAAAAATGTTTCAGTCTCWTCTCTAGGGTCGGTCCACTGATAGAACGAAGCTTGGGATTGGATAAAATAACAAAAACAAAGAAAGCATGGATTATGGTGAACAATGTGTATTGTCCTACATGTGAGCTGCRTTCTTTGTTTTATCTCACCATTCATTGTTTGTTCATCCACTCCCAGGCTTCGTTCTGCCCGTTGTGGATTACCCCATCTTTACTGTGCTAATCTTAGAACTGRATCGTCACATCATCGCCCATCAAAAAGAAAGGAGCCCAGTATTTTGGTTCACTGTATTCTGGCATTCTTCTCATGTCATTCATCGTCAGATTCAGGCTTGTACTTGCGCTCTTGCCGTCCTTCAGATACTTGTAAAACGCTTCCATAAACATCAAAGTAGCCTTGTCATCGATGGCCCACAAGGAACCCACCACAGCACGAGCACCTGACGCGAGAAAGGCTCGACACATGCCAACTACTCCTTCAGCTTTGATCTCACCACGTCCACTGTGACAGCAGCTTAACACAACTAACTGTGCACGTACTTGAGCCTGCTGTACATCAGCCATGGTGAGCATGTAATCTTCTTCATCTGGGATCTTTGTTGTTCTTATCTCAGGAGAAGGAGCAAGTACGATGGTGGCCTTTTCCAGGCTACCGTGTGCAGCAATGTGAACAACAGACGCTCCTTCTCGTAGTCTCTTTATGACAACGGGTTTCGTAGCGTTAGCTGACAATAGCGGCTGAACTCCAAGCATGTTAGCTATTTCATCTGCCTCTTCTATTACACCATCTAAAAATTCAAATACWTTTTTAGCTCCATTAAACATGACTGGATCAACGACGGCAGCGCCAATGATCAGTGCTTCTTTTCTGGAGTGATGTTCCACTGTGTATTCTTGGAGAAGCTTTAAAGATGCCATCGAAGGAGCCATTCTAATCCTCATTGTTTCACACAAATACTGTCCCGTGTCTGGGTCCAGTAGGGCAGCAAATGGTAATTTGCACAAGGGACCTTCAGGAATAATGACCAYTTCGTCTTGTTTAATGAAACACTCGATATTGGTTATTAACTTTTGGTACAATATTTCCAGGCCATTAGTCAGGTTGCTCTTATCGCTGTTTTCTGATGGGTTTCCTCTGCATTCACAAATAGAGCGGCATCGTTCTGATAACCTTTTTTCTCTCTGTTGAATCAACAGTTGCGTTAATTCATCTTCTTTTATTTCAGCATTGTTCTCTTCAAAGTATTGCATGACGTCTAATGATCTGTCCTCACAGTGGATTACTTGACGCACTTTCATATCGTCAAATGTTTTATCAACAAGCTTGTCTAGGCATGAGTCACAGTACTCAAAATGCTGGACTGAAAATCCAAGCTCGTTTCCTGCCTCTACTACAAACGTGTACAACTTATCAAAACACGTTGAAAAAAATAGAAGAGTGTAGTTACGCTTGAAGACAAGAGACTGGACATCGSCCTTCTGTATAACCTCATCAGCAGTCTGTTCTTTCTTCATTCCATAGCTTGAAACAAGGAGATCTTTCAGGGCTTTTGCACGATAGTGGTCAGACAATGACAG